CGTCCTTTATATATAACCCATTACTCGCCGGTTCGGATATAATCCGAAGTTTTCGGATTCCCTCAACATTCGGTGATTCAGAGATCGGGTCGGGCGGGTTGTTTGGATCCTTCGGGTATTGCACAGCCCTAGTTGGGCTTGAGATGAATTTGGGCTTAATCAAATCATTTGGGCTTAATCAAATCATTTGGGCTAAAAAAAATACATTTGGACTAGATTAAACACACTTGGGCTCAAGAATTAAATCACTTAGGATAGAAAACTGATAAGAGTAATTACGAGCTCGTCTCGAATGGACTGCTGGCTCAAAATTTTAGGAAATAAATCATCGTCTGAATAAAATAATTTTATTTTGAAACTTTATAAAATAAAAATTTGGAATTAATATTTTGGGTTGTCACACCTGCCCCCACCCCCATTATATTGTATTATATATATATATATATATATATATATATATATATATATATATATATATATATATATATATGGAAGGGTTCAGGTGCTGGTATAGCTTCCCGTGCGGTTGTGCAGGTGATTAATGTGTGTGGATTTTGTACTTAGTGTGTGTGAGTATTTTGCTTAATGTGCGTGAGGTTTGTGCTTAATGTGCGTGATGCACATTAATCACCGATGAAGAACACCCTTCAGACTCAACTAATGAACAACTTCCGTGAAGTACTTGAAGAGCTGCTCCAGGAGGATCATAATGTAAAACACAGGAGGGAACGCATTCAGAAACAATCTTCTCTTATTTCAAAACTTACCAGGCAACTCAGTATCCATCCCCTGTTGGAAAAATGAATTTTCATTCACAAATTTTGATGTTTTTGGCGACATTTGTATAGGTTCCTGTGCTTGAAACATTTGATGGGTCTGTGTTTGATGATAATTGAGCTGCTGCTGCCGCCGCCGCCACCAGCTACTCAAATGGTGAAGCAGTTTCCGAGAAAAGTAGATTAAACAATAGTCACATTAAGTACACACTCACGCACATTAAGCACACAACTCACGCACCTTAGTCACAAGACTCATGCACCTTAAGTACAAAACTCACGCATATTAAGCACTACACACTCACACACATTAAGCACATACCTCACGCACCTTAAGCACAAGACTCACGCACATTAATTACAAAACTCACGCACATTAATTATATATATAATTTTAATTATAATATGGATAAATTATAATTTTGATCCCTCCTAATTTTTTAAAAATCTATTATGTATATATTAAATAAACTCGAAAAATATATATTAAAGTTCAAATTCATTAAGTGAAAGTAAATAAATCAAATAATCAAATTTACCATTTGTCTTTATTAATTAGTTGATTTCTTTTGTCAATATTTCAATAATGGAGGGCATTACATATCTAATTTAATTTCATTACTCTTTAAATTTGATATATATATATATATATATATATATATATATATATATATATATATATATGTTTTAGTTTTATTAATTGATTGATTAATTTTTTTTTTTGAATACTATTGACCCTATTATCTTTTCGGAAAATTATGCCCGGCGCCGTTTTTACGTAAAAAAAAAAAAAAAAAAATTCGCGGATGTGGTGTTAACGGCGCGCGTTTGGTCAGATTATGAATTTTCTGTTATGAGATTATGAATGTACTGTAAATTCATAATCTCATAACAGAAAATTCATAATCGCATAAAAGAAAAACATTCATTAAATTATATGAATTTTCTGTTATGAGATTATGAATTTACTGTAAATTCATAATCTCATAACAGAAAATTCATAATCTCATAACAAAAAATTCACAATCTCATAACAGAAAATTCATAATTTCATAACAGAAAATTCATAATTTATGAATGTTGAAGAAGCTTGCGCTACAGAGGAGCAGTCATGGTTTCGGACGGGAATGTGTAGGCACGGGTCCAAAGTGAATGTGCAGGCATGGATTCATAATTTATGAATGTCCGAAATCATTGCTCACCTCAAATTAAAGTGAAACCGCGAAATGTGAAAATGAATAAGAAAAGTCACGCGATTTAAAAAAAAAAAAAAAAAAAAAAAAAAAAAAAAAAAAACCGGTGCACTAACACCGTTGGGACCGTGTTCACCATGGATGGTGAACACGTTTCCATGGCATAACGATTGTTATCTTTTCTCAACCAACTGAAGCCCAACAGTCAATATAGACTCCACTGAGGCTCTAACCTGGAGGCTCTAACCAATGACCTCTTCACTGAGACTCTACCCAATGACCTCTCATCTAGAAGAGTCACTTACTGCTTGATCACAAGGTCTTTGACATTAGTTGATTAATTAATTAATAACTTATTTTGCGTTTTTATTATTTATTTACAGTTTTAGGATGTAAATTTGCTAGGTTAAATGATTAGCTTGAAAATTTACAAAAATTAATAATGATTCTTTATTTCGTGATTTTGGTTTTGGTCTTCATCCCTTAAATTTTGAAATATATATTCAATTAATTAGTAAAATAAATATCAATTTATTATCAAAAAAAGTTGTTGTTGACCAAAAATTGACAACTTCAATTTTTATTTGATAAAAGAGTGACAATGTATATTTAAATAAATGTAAATATTTAAAAAAAAATACAATTTTCGTCCCTAAGTTAAATGGTAATTGTAGAATTCGTCCATAATTATTGGTCGTGCTCACTTTTTGTTCCTATGTTATAATTTACGTTGCAAATTTCATCCTTTTAATAACAGGTTGTGCTCAATCTTCGTCCCTAACCTATACTAACATTGCAAATTTCGTCCCTAATGTTTTGTTAGTAAATGAACAAAATTTGCAACATCAATTATGGAGTATATCTTAAGGACGAAAAGTGAGAACGACCAACAATTAGAGACGAATTCTACAATTACTCTATAACTTAGTGATAAAAATTATAATTTTCCTTACTTTTTACTATTTTATATATATATATATATATATATATATATATATATATATATATATATATATATATATATATATATATATATATTGTTATTTTTGTAAAAATTTGAAATTAATGTTTGATAACCTTAACAATCGTACTCATATAATTATATATTTCATATATTATTGCACATAGTATAAATAAAAATAAGTACCAATAATAATCGACACAATCATGCATGGTATTTATAATGATATTGTATGGTTGGTACTAATGCGTCGACTAACATGATAAATTTCTTCTATAAATTTGACGCCACTGCCACTGCCCGGAGTAGCTAGCTTGGTACTGACTAATAATCAAAATATATAGATAATGACTAATGCAGAATTGATTGTCAAACTCTACTTATCTTATTGAGAAAAATAGAATTTGAGAAAAGTTTTATATAGCTTTTGTTCTACATTGTGTTTGCACTACTAAAAATACCGATTTATTTATGAGTTTGAATTTTGTGGCATCTCGAATCACACGCCAAGAATTAAGGCAACAATGTTATGTGTACTTTTAGTCCATTAATTTGTTTTAACTGATGATGCCTTGTACAATACATGCACTATACATGAAAAATGTCCCAACCAACTAGAAACTTTTATTTTTATAACATGAAAACTATCATGCATGGTAGTGTAACTAGTACCATTATTCCATAAGCAACTTTTTTTCTTTTTGTTGGCTTAATCTTTTAGTTACTTGATCTTAGAGCAGTCAACGTTGGGGTTAAATGCCTCGTTGTGCAATCAGTTCCCTGATGTGCCCTCGGATGCTTTCCTTGTGCCCAAATGCCTCTTTTTCTCCATGATTAACATTCTTTAATTTCATTCTTGCTTGCTCCATTACTTGATCTTTTCTCCCTTCAATCAAAAGTAAACCAATTTAAGCATTATTCTGTTGGAAAAAGACATTCAAAAGAGTGTGATTTAATAGAGAGACTTGTCCCACATTGGTTTCAATTCATAAGAGGAAATATCCCACCTTTTAAATACCACTCCAAATGGGTCCTTTGAAATGTTTTAAAGAGAGAGGAAAGGGGGAGTCTCGCATGCGTCGCCGCCCGGCTCGGATGCGGTGTGGTTCGATATTTTTGCTTTTGAATTAGTCTTTCTTGTCCGAATTTTCCGCTTCTGAAGCGATATTGTGGCCAGGAGAAACGCGAGCTGCGTATGGCTACCTTTGTGCGCAGCTTCTCCTTACTTCTCGCTTATCTTTGTGGATGTAGTGGGGAAGGCAGTTGGTACAAACCCATATAAATACCCTGCCTTCCATACCGCATTCACAAGAATAATTCCTGTGCAAATACGTATACTTAGTGCAAAGCTATACGTGAGTTATTCTGTGTTAGCTGGTCGAAAGCCCCGGAAGACTTGCACGCTCTCCGGCAATAGCTTTTAAGGCAGTGTCTACACACACGTCATAGAAACAAAACAAATAACCTTCTCTTAATATCATACCCATAAACACAACCAAAAACAATCTCTGCACAACATATTCCGCCTTCTTTTACCTAACATTGAGCCAAAAACACAAACATAAATGAGCACAAATATAAAGCTATTTCATGGCGTATCAGTAGGCATTGTAGAAAGTTTATTTCCAAACTACATAAACAACTACTTGTTTCATTATTATTTACAACTTTTCTGCTTTACATTTTGTAATACCATCAATCCATCATACTACTATACCTATTATAATAGTATGTGATACAACGTAACATTCCTAACTTCAAAACCATTATTCCTGACAATTTGAATTTCACTAAGCTAATTCAAGAAACCTCGAGGTACAAATATTACAAATGTTTGCTTATTACATAAAATGTAAGGAGTATAATATTTGGATAGTATACAAGTATTTAGAGGTTTGTAGACTAATTGAAACATATCTCATGATTTGTTTCTACTCCAATCTCCAGGCCACTAGAAACTTTTATTTTTATAACATGAAAACTACCATGCATCGTATGTAGTAACTAGCTAGTAACATTATTCCATAAGCAACTATTTTTTTTCTTCTTTTTGTTAGCATAATCTTTTAGTTACTTGATCTTGGAGCAGTCAACGTTGGGGCTAATCTTGAACGGCATATGGACACCACACTTGCCGGGGAGGCCCATCGCACGGCCGAGTTGCTCTGGGTTAGCACTCCCCGCCGCTGCTTTTGCACACGTGCAAGCTGCTCGCCGGTCCGGCCTGGTCTTGAGACTGGTCACCAGCGATGCCAGCCCGCTACAACATTCTCCGGGCACCTTCCCGCCGTTCATTATATAGTCCACACATGGGTACAAGATAGAGTACATCTCGCCGCATGTGATCACCGCACCAGCACGAGGCATGATGGCCGCGGGTGCCACCGTGCAAAAGAGCAGCAAGAGAGCGAGTTTTTGTTTTCCGGTGATAACCATTGCCTTAATTGATTTTTAGTGCTTAGATCACTAATAATGTTTTGATTGTATGTGAGTATATAGGATGAGCTAATTAAGTATACCTTGCAACCCCAATATATACACACATTGAATGAATTATCGAGAATATAAATTATTATTGTCTTATTGAGACATATGAGATCATGACAAATATTGTGAGGTATTTTTTTTTTTTTTTTTTTGGTTATATGGACTTTGTGTCGACCGTTTTTATACTTCATTGTTTTCGTTTGTCTTTAGAAGATTCAATCGGCTGTCGGAATTATGTTGTCACGTTTGTTATAAGCTGGAAACCTAGTTAAGTTCATCAGTTTAGTTAGTTATTAACGTAAATCTATGCATGGAAATTGGAAAATGGTATTTTATTTGAAGCCAGCCAACTATTTTTGTATTCCAGTTTGATCTTAGCTAGGATAAATTGATCTTAGATTCATCGCAGCACAATGTGATTAATGGATACTAAAACACGGTGATGCTAAAAATAATAATTTTTACATTCTAACGGGTTATAATCTAAAATTATTTCCGAGTAGATATGAGTTCTACGGACAAATTATTTGAAAATATAACTAATAATTAGGTAAATTATACCAAGCGTCAATAGGTTGATTCTTGATTTTGGGTATGGAGCAACTTTAAATCTTCAGGCCAACTAATCAATCTATATTATATTAGAGGTGATTACAATTTAACAAGATGATTAGTCACTGTATCCGACGATGAAAATCCTAGATGCACAAAAGAAAAATTATTATAAACTATATTCAGTTAATTGTCCTGCTTCAATTTATATGATTATACATTTATATGATGATTTTGGTACAATAAAATCATCAAATTGTATTTTATTTTCTGTGATATTTAAGTATGAATTTTGCATTATAAGCATGTGCTTACTTAATTCAATTTAGGAACAGTCAGATGATTGAATTGCATGCGGGGTAAATTATAGTTTTTGAATTCATAAGAAAAACATGATTAATTTGAGCTGAACATAGTTTAGAATAATTGTGATGGCTTAAATTGTGGAATTGCGCTGAACATGAAATATTAGAGAAGAAACAGCAAACCACGTAGCTCATGTGCTAGCACGGGCAACTGGTTCTTCTTCTGATCTTCGGGTTTGGGTTGTTAACCCACCGAGTTGTATTTCGCGTTTCTTTGATGGTTTAATATAAACAATGGTTCTCAAAAAGAGAAGAAACAGCAACAAGAAATTGAGGAATTGCGTGCACAACATATTGCTAGTGGAGAGGCTAAAGATCATATAGTGCTAACTTTCAGCCACTGGGTCAATAGGTCTTCCATCTGGATGGAAAACCCGGAGAAGAAGGATATTACCATTCACAAATAAACACCATTGTGGCCGGTGAACATTTGCTCGTTAAAGGATAACGATACTTTTTTCTCATATTCTATTATAATTTATGGTTTAATGAGATATACCTTGTCTTGTTGCATTTTGAGTATCGTACATGCTACGTACTCCTTATTTATAATGTATGTGCGTGCATGACTCAAATGAGTTTAGTTTTGAGACCGGAAATTAAAGACAAATATAATGCATAATCCTAAGTGTTTGTATCATGTGCGCCATTTCCTTCCTATGAAATATCTTGCTCTATTATTCCCAGCGAAACCAAATTGAAAATTTTGTTTCTTCTTATTGTACTAAGCTGAGCATAAACATTTTCTTAACTTAGATAACTCATAAATGAGAATTTGTTGTATTCTTGTTGTTAGCAATTAGTTATTCGCTATAAGTCATAGATGTTGAGATTTATCTCACATCTTATAAATAAATAGCTACAACCTGAAGTGAGCTTTTAAAAACTTTTGATAAGAGCACAGTGTATGATAACTAATTCTTGGGTTTCATAACACAAAATAGTGACATGACTTTTGAAAGTTGGTTTTAGTGGTGATGGAAAAATAAGAGTATCGTCCTCAAGGAATGGCTTAAAAGGAATTTAAGTAATAAGGGGTTAAGAACCCGTTCATATAGTGTTTGAAAGCTAACGAATAGATATTTGAGTATTGCATGTTCAAATAATCAATAATGATAACAAGTAAATGAATTAAAAGACAATAGATAAAAGAGAGATTTGAACCAAACAACGAGTCCCTTAGTTGTTTCAAAAAACTTGTTGATGGCGGGAATTGATGCTACCCAATCCTGCCCGTCCCAATGAGTTCAATTTGCTGGAACTTCCGTGGACTTGGTGACCCACAGACAGTTCGTGAAGTTTTGGCCTTAGAAATGAAGGTCAAGCCGATGTTCATATTTTTAATGGAAACTAAGGTGCGTCGTGATCCTGCAGAAAGATTGAGAATGAAACTTAATTTTGATGGGCTCTTCTATGTGGATGTAGGTGGTCTGGGAGGTGGTTTAGCATTATTTTGGCGCGAAATGGGAGTTGCAAGTCTTATAAGCTATTCCAAAAATCACATTGATGTCCATGTGCCGCTGCCTGGCAGCGACCCATGGAAATTAACATGCTTTTATGGATTCCCGGAAAGAAGCCGCCGTCAACAATCTTGGGACCTATTGAGATCTCTTCAATCTAAATCTGATTTGCCGTGGCAAGTGGCCGATGATTTTAATGATATTGCAACCCCCAATGAGAAGCGTGGTCAGCACCCCCAACCTACGTCACTTATTAGTGGGTTTAATTATATGTTAGAGGATTGTGGCTTTATTGATCTTGGTATGACAGGATGAAAATTTACATGGGAATGCGGTAGAGGAACGGAGAATTGGGTTGAAGAACGACTAGATAGAGCTGTTGCCGGGGCTGATTGGTGTAGTTTGTTTCCTCAAGTTACCATTTTTAATAAAGATGTCATCACGTATGACCATTCGGCTATACACATCGAAATCAAAGGACCAAGTATTGCGAGACAGCGTCGCAAGTTCATGTTTGAAAATGCATGGTTGAAAGAAACAGGGTGCAAAGATATTGTATTGGGAGCGTGGAATGCATCTGTTGGTGATATTGTTCCTTCCCGTCTAAATATTTGTGGGGCTTCTCTTAAGAGTTGGGGTGGTAGCTTCACAAAAAGGACCGAAAAGGAGATTGCTCATCTTCAATCACGACTGAATGATTTGAGGGAAAAGTGTGATGCAAACTCTCTTAATTTATTCCGTGATGTTTATGGTAGATTGCATGAGCTTTACGACCAACTAAATATTTTCTGGCGTCAAAGGGCAAAAACATACTGGTTAATGAAAGGGGATAGTAACACAAGGTTTTTTCATCTATATGCTACGGCTCGAAAAAGGAAAAATACGATTGTAAAACTTAAAGATGAAGCCAGACAATGAATCGGAGGTTCTGATTTGTTGCAGTTGGCTAAGAGATACTTTTCTTCTATTTTCACAGCTAAAGGGGTCTGCATGGATAATATGCTACGTGACTTTGTTCCTAAAATATCTGTTGCGGATAACAACAATCTCCTATGGCCTTTTATTGTTGGTGACGTTAAGGATGCATTATTCAGTATGGACCCGGATAAATCACCGGGTCCTGATGGTTTTAGTCCAGCATTCTTCCAATATTTTTGGAGTGAAATTGGTGATGATGTGGCCCGGTTTATTATTGATTGTACGAAAGGGAGTCAGTTTCCAGAAGGGATGAACGATGCAATAATCACTTTAATTCTTAAGAGGACAGTGCCTACTACTATGGGTGAGTTGCGTCCAATCGCACTATGCAACGTTATTTATAAGATCCTTTCAAAAATGTTGGCAAATAGACTAAAGGAGATTCTAGAGAAAATTATATCACCATCTCAGAGTGTTTTTTTATCGGGAAGTCTTATTACCGATAATGTGTTTGTTGCCTCGGAGGTTATTCACTATTTGAATCGCAAGAGAGGAGGTAGAGATGGATGGTGCGCTCTCAAGTTGGACATTGCTAAAGCGTATGACTAGACGGAGTGGCCCTTTTTGGAAGAAATGATGACAAGAATGGGTTTTGACCAACAGTGAATCGATCTCATTCTCTGGTGTGTTACCACGGTTAGATACAGAGTTAGTGTTAATGGTGAACTATCCGACTTTATTGTTCCATCCTGTGGTCTAAGACAAGGGGATCCCTTGTCCCCATACTTGTTCATTTTATGCGCAGAAGGCCTATCCCATTTATTATCCAGCGCAATGCAGCGTGGTGTTATTTCGCCATATATTGTAGTAAGAAGGGCACCCAGAATTTCACATTTGTTTTTCGTTGACAACAGTCTTCTCTGCTTTAAAGCTACGGTGGCGGAGACAAATGCAATAAAGAGCTGCTTAACGTGTTACGAGCGTATTTCGTGCCAAGTAGTAAATTATGGTAAATCTTGTATTATTTACAGCAAGAATACTGAAACGGTAAGAAGAAATGATGTAGTGGTTGTTTCTAATGTTGAGCAGGCTGGTAATATCTGGAAATATCTTGGTTTGCCAATTGGGATAAGACGCAATAAAAGAGAGGTGTTTTCCATCATTGAAACTAAGCTGAATCAACACTTAGGAGGATGGCGTAAGAAGATTCTTTCTCGTGCTGGGAAAGAAGTTCTTCTTAAAAGCGTTGCCCAAGCGCTACCAACCTATACTATGAGCATATACTTTTTACCCGGTTACTTTATGTGAGTGGTTAGAGAGAACCATGAACAAGTTCTGGTGGGAAGCCAGTGGCAGGCGCGAAGGGGGTATAAGGTGGATGTCTTGGAGTCGCATGTGCGAGCGAAAGATGAACGGCGGGCTGGGTTTCAAGAAGTTAAGCAGATTCAATGTAGCGCGACTTGCCAAACAGGGCTGGCGCTTTCTTACCAATCCTCATTCCCTGGTTGCTCGATTGTTCAAAGTGCGTCAAATAGAAACTTAACTTGCTTGCACATGAAATATTGTGTGTGTGATGGTAAAACCTAATGTGCGTTATAATTATACACTAATAAAACTGAAAGTAGTCTGAATAAAATTAAACAAAAACATCATAGAATGAAGAACACACCTTCACTCCTTCAAGCGGCATATGTTGGACTTCAGTGTGTCTTTGACCTTTAACAGTAGGAAAAGGTGGTAATGCTCGTTGATCACTACATGTCAATCCTTCCATTTCTTGTTGATCATTACAATCTAATTCTTCTGAATCTGTTTGAGAGGGCACAAACTGGGGATTACGTCTATGAATTCTGCCTCGTCCAAAAGTTCCAGACTTAAACTCTTCTATCTCTCGGTCTTATATTACAGGCTAATACTTGGTATCAGAGTCCAATACTTTAAGATTATACAAAAATTTCCTAGAAACGTAATGGGCTCTGATGTCAATTATTGTTAAAGTATGCCTCCTTAGAGGTTAGTAGAGAAAAATGGGCTCCAAGCAACACGTAGACTATAATCTCTTTATTATCGGGTGACATAGAGATTCGAACCCATAACCTTTGACATGACTCTGATACCAAATTGAAGCATGTGCTCTATCTCAACTAAAAACCTAAGCTGATAGTTGAATTGCACATTTATGTTTATATATATTATATGCTCAGCAATGAAAACTATTAAAATATTTTACAAAATTAAATCAGTTATAGTGTTTTAAGTGACTATTAGTACGTTTCTTGATGAAGGTGAAATTCCAAAGGAAAAATCCTGCTCTAGTAGTTTTACAAATACTAATTCTGGCGAAAGTTCTTCAAAGGAGAATAGTTCTGGAAGTTTAGAGGAAAACCCAATCCTAGTAGTGCTGGTGAAAGTTCAAAGGAAAATAGTTCTGGAAGTTCACCGAGGAGAGAAATTCAGTTGTAGTAGTTCTTTGAAGGAAGGTATCTCATCTAGTGACCACTCCAGCTGTTAGGGGCTGTCTGGCTGGGGTGAGACTCATCACTATCGTTTGGCTTTGATACCAAGTATTGGGCTCTGATACCAAGTATTGAGCTTTGATGCCAAGTGTTGAGAGAGGAGAAATGTTAAGGAAGGATAAAGCCTCCGCAGAGGTGAGGTAACGATCCTTTGATTTGTTTAGCTTCACAATTTCAATATATTCAAAGATGTCTTACTTACGGATGAGCAATCTAAACAAATGCCACAAGGCTCTGATACCAACTGTAACACCCTCAAATTCTAATTACAGAAAACTAGAGAGTAAAGGAAAATATTTCTCAAAAATGCGGAAGCTAAACCGTCAGCACGGGGTGTTATGCCACATTTGGGCCAACCAAAACACAAATGCTAATGCTACAAGTTTCTATCTACAATCCAATTACAAGGTATATTAATCCAACAATGAAAAACATCAAAAGGTCTATCTAATACAAAATTAAATCTGTTATAGTGTTTTAAGCAAATATTATCTTTTAATTTAATTAATATAAGACTAATGGTATATATAAATTTAAAAAAATAATCACTTCCCGTGGCAGGCGCGAAGGGGGTATAAGGTGGATGTCTTGGAGTCGCATGTGCGAGCGAAAGATGAACGGCGGGCTGGGTTTCAAGAAGTTAAGCAGATTCAATGTAGCGCGACTTGTCAAACAGGGCTGGCGCTTTCTTACGAATCCTCATTCCCTGGTTGCTCGATTGTTCAAAGTGATAGATTTCCTACAGTCTGATTTTATGAACGCTAAACTCGGACCGAATCCTAGTTACTGTGGCGTTCTATCCTTGCAGGACAGGAAGTTTTCCAGTGCGGTTACTTTAAAAGGATAGGGAATGGAGCTGATATGAATGTTTGGAATCAGCCATGGTTACCAAATGATGAGAACTCATTCATCCAAACCCCTATCCAGAATCACGGTGAGAATATGAATGTCAATGATCTGATTCTAAATGATACACATGACTATAACGTGGAGTTGCTCAACAGTTTGTTTGACAACCGTGATGTTGAACTCATTATGAAGATTCCGGTTTCTTGCAACTTTGAAGATCATTGGTGTTGGAAGGGAGACCTACGTGGTTTATACTTTGTCAGTCGAGGATATCGTCTTTTGTCCGGGGAAGTCGCTGGAGGAAATCGTAATGGAGCATGGCAGGCCATATGGCGATTGAAAATCCCTCCAAATATTCGGAATTTCTTGTGGCGATATCTTCATGGTGTTGTACCTACGTTAGTAGGGTTACCTAAACGTCGGGTGGAGGTAGATACTGTTTGTCCTCTCTGTCGACAATATCCGGAGTCCTTGAAACATATCATGTATGAATGTTCGCCGTGTTATTAATCTCTGGCAGAATATGTTGAATTGTCCCTTACCAGGTGTCGATGAAGAATTTGGTTGTTGGCTCTCAAATCGTCTGTTGGATAGTGACAAGTCGATGGTGATTCAATGTGCCGCCAGAATTTGATGTATTTGGTGTGAAAGAAATGCAATAGTGTGGAATCATAAGCCTTAGCATTCATCAGTTATCCTCATGGAAGTGTACAGGCTCCTTAATGAATGGCACGATCTAGATGAGACAGTGGCGCCCAGTGATACTCAACATATGGCTACTCCAGAAGTTATGACTATTATTCCAAACGATGGAGTTGCGGTGTACGTGGATGCTACGGTATTTCCGGCCTCTGGCCATGCCAGCTATGGAATTATCATTCATGACTGCATGGGTAATTATGTTGAAGCCAAGAATTGTAATTTATATTGTAATTAAATTAAATATGTGTGTGTGTGTGTGTGTGTAAATTAAATAGGTTCTCGTGCGAGTGAGGGCTTCAGGTGCGGTTGTGCGGTTTAATCTGAGCCATCCATCTCGCTTTAATCAACGTCCAGGATTATCAAAGTTTAAAAAAAAAACGCAGTGGCAATTTTATAATTTTTTCATCTAGGTCAAAATTAAGGTGAGCAGATCTGTGATTAATGTGCGTGAATTTTGTGCTTAATGTGCGTGTGTTTTGTGTTTAATGTGCGTGAGGTTTGTGCTTAATGTGCGTGGGGATGTGCTTAACGTGAATAGTTGTTAAAAGTTAAAGTCTGTGAGTGAATACTTAAAGTGCGTGAGTTTTGTGCTTAATGTGCGTGGGTTTTGTACTTAATGTGCGTGAGTTTTGTACTTGGTTGTTGAAACTTAAAGTCTGTGAGTTAATATTTAAAGTGCGTGGGTTTTGTACTTAATGTGCGTGAGGTTGTGCTTAATGTGTGTGGGTTTTGTACTTAAAGTGCGTGAGTTTGTGATTAAGATCTAACACTTAAGGTGCACCAAGCCTCCGACTTGCCCTGGGCTTTGGCAAAATCCTCCAGCAAAGCTGCGCTACTCCTAAGCAAGATAAAAGGAGAAATCCAAATTCAAGGTATAGAGTTGATGAGTTGAACGAGTCTCCTCCTCGCCTTCCTGGTATTCGCACACTGGGCTTTGGCAAGCGTTTTTTTTTTTTAATTTTCATTGATTTGAGTCGTTGATCTAAATTTGATCAACTGCTCAGATTTAACCGTACAACCGCACGGGAAGCTATACCCGCACCTGAACCCTTCCCTATATATATATATATATATATATATATATATATATATATATATATATATATATATATATATATAATTAGGTTCTGGTGCGGTTAGGGTGTCCAGGTGCAGTTGTGCAGTTTAATCTGGGTCATTCATCTCGCTTAAACCAACGTTCAAGATTACCAAAATTTAAAAAAAAAAAACGCGGTGGCAATTTTGTAAGTTTTGCATCTAGGTCAAAATTAAGGTGAGCGATTCTGTGATTAATGTGCGTGAGTTTTGTATATAAGATGCGTGAGTCTTGTGCGTAAGGTGCGTTAGTTTTGTACTTAATGTGCGTGAGGTTGTTCTTAATGTGAGTAGTTGTTAAAACTTAAAGTGTGGGCTTTTGTGCTTAAGGTGCGTGAGATTTGTTCTTAATGTGAGTGGAGTTTGTGTTTAATGTGCGTAAGGTTTGTGCTTAATGTGTGTGAGGTTGTTAATGATTAATGTCAGTAGTTGTTGAAACTTAAGGTTTGTGAGTTAATACTTAAAGTGCATGAGTTTTGTGCTTAATGTGCGTGAGGTTATGCTTAATGTGCGTGGATTTTGTACTTAATATGCATGAGTTTGTGCTTAATGTCAGTAGTTGTTGAAACTTAAGGTTTGTGAGTTAATACTTAAAGTGCATGGGTTTTGTGCTTAATGTGCGTGAGGTTGTGCTTAATGTGCGTGGGTTTTGTACTTAATGTGAGGTTCATTCATTTGAGCTGTTGATCTAGATTTGATCAACGGCTTAGAACTAACCGCACGGGAAGCTATACCCGCACCTGAACCCTATATATATATATATATATATATATATATATATATATATATAGGTGCGGGTTCTGGTGCGGTTGGCACTGTTAGGTGCGAGTGTGCGGTTGTATGGTTGCCGTTGGTTTTTAATGCATTAAAATATCTTCACCGTTGATCTTAAAAAGTGAAGTTCGCTTATTTTAACTCGTATTCGCGTACTGAGAGACAAATTAGTAATTTTGAATAAATTAACCTTCATCGTTGTTCTCTCTCGTCGTTCGCATTGCCGTCGCCGTTTTTTTTTTTTTGTTTTTCAAAGAATCGTTCAGTTGTCTATCGTCACTCGTTCGTTTGGCATTGCGGTTGCCATTGTTTTTGTTTTTCAAAGCTCTTTTCGTTCTCTCTCGTTATCTAGTATTTATTTCTCGTGGATCTGCATTTGTTTTTTTTTTTTATCTCAGAAAATTGATCCAGTTTATTTGGTTATGAAAATGGAGCACATTAAGTTATATTTTGAAACACACTGTGTAATACATGCATGCATAGTAAGTATTAGACGGATGGACGCACATTAAAGAGATATGAGACGCATATTAAAGAGATATGAGAGTAAATTGACTTATCTTAATTGGTACTCAAATGAACGCACATCAAGAATTGTGTTCACGCACGTTGTACTTTAATAACTCGCACGTAATTGTGAATATGAACGCACATTAATTGGTTTGAATTTGTATTCTTTTTTTATGTTTATTTTTAATAATTATTATTTTCCATGTTATTTTAGTATGCAAATGAACGCACATTAAGATATGCACTCACGCAAGTTGTACTGTAATTAGTCGTATGTAATACCGAATATCAACGCATATTTATTGTTTTAAATTTTGATTCATTTTTTTTTAATAAATAAACTCATGCACTCTAAGACTTATTTTCAGGCACTTGATGTATTAAATAATACGCATGTGTAAGTGTATATTGACGCACATTTGATTTTTTTGATTATTTTTTTTTCTTTCAATTACTTATTTAGCACGAAAATGAACGCACAATAAATTTTTTAAAAAGCACGTTCAAGGTTAAGTGGACGCATATTATGATTATCAATTGTATGAACTAATAAGGTGATTCTTAATATGCGTTTATCCAACATATAAGGTGGCGTGAAAATATATATTAATGTGCTTCAAAACCAAAGGAGTTTATATCAAGATTCTGAACTACTGTAATGTAATAAAACCATTAAGATTAAAAAATATTCATTATTTTTTGTCTTAATACCACCCTTTTCCATGTTTTTTTTTCAGACAGTTCATTAATTTCAGCAGTTAAAATTGTTGTAATGTATTTCACCATGAGGTTTGCAAGATCTGATGGTTTTTTTTTTACTGATGTCACTTTGAAAACTAGTCACTCCAGTCCCCATGTATGTTTCCATGTGGCGCATTGTAAATACACCACAATCATCTTTGTTCTCGTTATCCCTCCATCAGCATTCTTTCGGGTGTAATCTTTTTAAGTATGTTTGTAGCACTGTATAAATCCTTTTGGTTCAAATATCTCACAAAGTAGTCTCTCTGCAATTAAATAGAAAAGCATTAAAAAATAAATAAATAAATAAACTACGCTTCATAAAATGATTTAAAATGTGTGATTTAGTACTCACCAAAAGAAATAGTATATCACCATATTTGGCAATACTAGCACCATTAGCAGAAGGATTGTCAATTATGTGTATGCATACACATGTGTGATTTAGTACTCACCAAAAAAAAAAAAAATTCTTTTAACAACAACTCACATTAAATAAACACTCACGCAAATTAAGAACAAAACTCACACATATTAGGCACAAGACTCACGCACCTTAAGCACAAAACTCACGCACATTAAGCACACAAATCATGCACTTTAAAGTTTTAACAACTCACACAAAAACTCACATTAAGTAGATACTGATGCACATTAAGCATAAAACTCACGCACATTAGGCACAAGACTCACACACATCAAGTCAAGCAGTCACGCACATTAAGCAGAAATCTCAGGCACACTGAGTATAAGACTCACACACATTAGTCGCCTCTAATACCACACAGGAAACACTAACTTGCTATATAACTTATTTTGTAGATAGGAATTTCAACTGTAACTTACATATTTGTATCATTGGCGTTATAAACCCAGTTGTTGAGAGTGATTTCATTCGGAGTGTGCGGTGCAGTGAAGTTCAGTTTTCTTGTAAAGCATGGAGAGTCCATTGCATATATCATTTTGCTTTCCATATAGTCTCTCTGTAGTCTCCCCTCAGCAGGTGTTTCTGTTTCTTTTGCAGCTTCTTCAACATTTGTTTTGTTTGTATTCTGAACCTTATGTGTTTCAATTTCTGTGGCAAGAGTATGTTTTTCAACATCTACTTTATTTGTACTGTCATCATGGTGCGTCATCATGGTACTCTTCGTCATGAGACATAACTTGGTCATTCTTGTTCTCATTCAAAGTAGTCTGCTGATGATCATCAACAACATAGCAAGCAGCAATATTTAAAACCTCGTCCGAAATACTTCTTTCTCTCTGTGAAGAACAAGTGTTTGAATTTCTCAGTTTCGACCTTATAAAAACCCCAACCCCAAAAAAGGAAACACTATTAGCATTGCTGCAAATGGGGCTTGGTATTGGGGTTTTTATAAGGTCAAAACTGAGAAATTCAAACACTTGTTCTTCCAAATACTCTTTCCTTTTTTGTATTGGAGTAAATACCAGCTAAGGTCCCCCGAGTTTGGTGGTTTCACCATTTATAGTCCCTAACTTCCGTAATTATCATCTGTGGTCCTCCGAGCTGCAAAAACTGACCTGCTACCATCCTCCCGTTAGTTTCTTCCATCTAAGCCGTCAAAAGAGGGGGCAGAAAGGTCATTTGGCCTATATAATTCTTTTTTCACACTCCCCGTTGCTGCTAATTTTTCAATCGGATTTTGGGTGCTTTTTGCAAATCGGATCGGAGCTCCTAATCGGAAATGGTGGAGCACGCAGAACATTTGGATCCTTACGAAGAATCCTTGATGGAGAAGATAGCTGAGAAGATTCACCAGGCCGACAACTCGTCTTCCTCTGATTCTGAATCTGAGAAAGAGCATCCGAAGGCTGATGTGTCACCGTCGTCTGTAAAGGCTAAGATTTGGCGGCTTTTCGGTCGAGAACAACCTGTGCACAAGGTTTTCGGTGGAGGCAAACCTGCAGATGTGTTTTTTGTGGAAGAACAAGAAGATATGTGGGGGAGTGCTTGGTGGAGCTACTGCTGTCTGGGTTCTGTTTGAATTGCTCGATTACCACATACTAACACTAGTTTGCCATGTTTTGATAATTGCTCTTGCAATCTCGTTCTTGTCGTCCAATGTATCATCCTTCATCAATAAGTCTCCTCCC